TAACAAAAGGAAAACAGTAATACCTAGAGACCCTAACAGACTACCGCTTAAGTCACCTGCACGGTAGGATGTTAAGAGCCAACAGTGCTAGTTTGACCAGCTGGATTCAGAGAGGTTGCTGAGGGGTTGGTGATGAGTGGCAGTTCAAGAAAACATTTAGTAGGGGGGCCCTAGGTGGGACCAGTGTCATTTAATTGGGGCGTATAATAGAAGAATAACACATACAATGAAAAACAGGGCCATAACACAATTCAGTATAAGTGAGCCACAATGCCAAGGCTGAAGAACCCGATAATGAAAACTTTTGTCCTTTTAATTAAGGACTGTCACTTTAAGCTTGAGCTATATAAAGAAGGGATCAATCAGTTATGCACCATCCTCTTAGTGTGTGTCATCTTAAGAAATTGATTTAATATTATGTTTTCAGTACAGCGGCCATAACAGCGACCAGAAACAGTATTACAGAGCCAGTAGCCCACGTTTGCCCTTACCGCTCATGCATGGTGAGAAAGAAAAACACAAAACAAAAAGAAAGAAGTGAAAAGTCGCCTCAAATGCAAAAAGCTTCTAATTTTCTTTTTAAACCATCAAAGCATTGTCTTGCTATTTTCGATTCTCACCTATTATTTTTCAGGTTTTGCATCATATTAGCTTTTAACACTTTTTCATGAAGCTGAAAACATATCCCAGACATGAAAAAGACACCAGAGAAAATGATATGGAACAAAGAAGATTCAACAGGATCACAGTCTGCCTTCTAGTTTTCCAAAAATGATCTTTACAAAAAGGTCATTGACCAGAGCTACTCATACAAACATCTGTTAAAGCCATGATGCAGAAATCCCTCTTTTAAAGTGTTTTTCTTATGTAATAAATATGTGAACATACCGTGCTGCAGGAATCGGTCATCCTCACTTCCCTATAGGGCTGATAACGCCCAGGTGAAAAACATCTGTCTGTTCCTGCCTCACATTCTCTTCCACTGAGCCGTCTGACCCTAATTTAAAATAAATGCGTATCACATATATTCTGATGACACTTTGTTGTACAGTTCATTTGATCCTATTAGAAGTGATGGGGTTCCAATCGTGTCCACAGATCAGGGCTGTGTCACCTATCATTGATTAAACGTCACTCAACTATCTGGCACTCTGTTGAGTGGATTACTACATTTTTCTTCTTACATAAATTGCTTTGATTTTCACTTTTATTTTACATTGCTAACTCAAAACTGTAGGTCAGAGTTATAGTTTCTCAGTTTACCAAACGAGTTTTTGTTTTCATCAAACCCCTCTTCTCATGTACAAAGACCTATATAACCAAGTTCCATCTGATATCAGAGATCTGTGTTCCTTGTGTCCCTAACATAGCACCCTGCTCTCAATCTGCAGATTTACTAGTGTTTCCTACAACTTCTAAAAGTGGAATAAGTGGAATAGTGGAAAATGCAGATCTTTTAGTTATCAGGCTTGTCTCCTGTGGAACCGATTTCCAATTTTAGTCTGTTAGGTATATATAGTTGTAGGCTTTTTGTGGTGTCTGAGCCCGTTTGGATGCAGTTTGGTTGTGTTCTCTCTTTGATATTTGTTGCTTGGGGAGGAGCTCACTGCACACACCAAGAGTGATCTTCATCAGAAGCAGTTTTTAAAGCTAGCCTCCTGTGTGCTCACTTCCTGATTGTCACCGGTAGCTCCAGCTCCAAACCAGTCTCCTGCTACCAAGCCATAACACCCACCTCTGCCTCTGCTTCCGGAGACACCATCTTTCATTGTTTACCTGTGAACAAAATAAATTGTTGTTGCTCCTATGGATTTAGCCTGGTTGTCTGCATTCTGGGACCAGCACCTAGCACACAACCCTTTTTAAGATTAGGTTTAACACTTTATTTTTTGATAAAGGCTTTCTATTGCTCTCATCTCATACCAGTAGAGCATAGGTTATAAGGTGCACCCTCTCTTTTACGTGTGTGTGTGTGTGTGTGTGTGTGTGTGTGTGTGTGTGTGTGTGTGTGTGTGTGTGTGTGTGCATGGCAGTGTGTATTTGTGGATGTATCAGATAAGCTGAAAAAGATGGATGGATTGATGACCAAAGTTCTGTTGCTATAAGCCCTACCTGTGCTCTCTTTCATCTCTTGACATAAATACTAACTTAGAGCTCATCTGCTTAAACTGTGCGTTTTTTTTTTTCAATCGTTGCACACAGCTGTTGCTCACACTGTAGCCTACGACTAATTGCGGGGTTTAGTTGTACAGTGTGAGTTCACAGCTCACAATTTATGTTCGGCCCGGCGCTCTCATACGATCTACCTGCTCACACTGTACAACAAAAAACCGAGTCGGACTCAGCTCCAAAGTGAAATGGAGCTGCTCTGTAGCTCTCTATTCTGAAGCCAACCAAATAAAAAAAGGGATATTGAGCTTAACATAGTGAGCCGCGCTGCCTTGTCAATTTATGCAATTTTCTACTGAAAGTCCTAAAAAGATAAAGCAATAACTTATTTGAAAAAAGACATGACTGAGCAAACGTGGCTACTACGGTCTGTCAATTTTACAGACAGAACTGCATTTCACTCATTGCATCCCTGCCACGCTGCTGTGTTTACATCTGAGAGGAAGAAAAAAAAGAAGAATCCTTCTTTGAGCATGTGCCAAGAGCAATTTGCCCTGATGATAGGTCAGAAAAACAATTGGAATGTGGACAGGCAGGCTCAGAGGTCCAGAGGCAGAACAGGTCAGAATTAGGCAATCAAAAACACAGGAATGCTAGAGAAATCTCACCACTAACCCAAATTAATCTAACACAGATGGCTGGTCTGAAGGCTGGTTAAATAGAGAATAAAGCAGGTGGATCAGATGAGTGGTAATGAGAACTCGATCATGGCAAAATGTATCACACCGTCAAAAATAGTTTCTAGTTTTATTATTGTCAAAAGTAGTTGCCAAACAAGTGTGTGACCTTTCTGAGTTTCAATTTGGTTAAAGAGCTCATCTCATCAGATCTATAAAAGGTTTTTAACCTGTTTTAAAGACCAGATCTCTTTGAGATAATTTTCTGTTTGATTTCCATCAAGGCTCCTCAGCATTACCTTATACAAAAAAGGGATGTGTTTTTATGTCCTATTATAAAGCAGTGTTGACCTTAAAAAGAGACCTTAAGAAGAACAATGATATTAAATAAAATAATTTATGATAGATGAATAAATTATAGCTTTGATTATTTTCTCAAATCTCTTCTCTGTTAGGGTCTCTGGGGTTTAGCTTTTTTCTTTTATGAGTGAGCTTCCTGTCACATAGAGGATCTTTACTGGCAACTAGGACGACCCATGTTGCTGCACATCTGAGAACATTTCTCGATAAAGATAACTAGCGCCTATATAGGAGTCAAAGGATCACCTGTATTTGCTGGATAATTACCCCTGATGGTATTCCAGACAAAAACCTAAACTAGAAATATCCTTCTTGTTAAAATTTGTACCTCAGATTATCTCGGATCTTCATTGAAAAGGTTTTCCTTGTGTACTGTGTGCTCTCAGTCTTCATCACCTCCCTGTCCACTCTCCAGCACCATGTCTCTTTCAAGTATCAACAATCCAAGATCTCAGTCACATTTTCCTGGACCCCAATTTGGACCATGATAAAAAGAAGAAAATTGTGCACCTTGACTAATTTTCCTCCTGGAACAAGTCAAGGACAAAAGAAGGCAGTCTACGCCTCCAGGTCATACCTGAGGGGGAGTCTAAGATGCAAGGGCTAAAGAATCCTTCTGTAGTCAATATAGGAAAACAGTTTAAATGAGACACAGTCATGCGGAGCCCATATCAGGCACCAGAAACTCTCTTCTCCTCCTAAAAGATTCTGTTATCTTTTTCATTTTTATTCCATCCTGTAATATTTATCATGTCGACCTGCTCATGTATTACAGCAAAGGTGTATTCATACTGAATGTGCTTTGGTTAAAAAATATGATCTTTTGTTTACATTGGCATTGCAAAATCCAGTCGGGGACTAGATCTGGCTCCTCTGATCTCTCACTTGGCTCCTCTTTTGTCCTCCTAAGCGAGGGTGCACTGATTCCCTGGCAGGCTCCTCCAATCTCCTGCTGAAGTTAAAACAACAAAAAGTAGCACCATCAGTCACTTTTTATATCCATATCCACCATGATAAGGTGAAACCAAAAACCAGCGGACTCCATGATGTGGGAGCATTTTGTCAGCCAGGAGAATTTGCCTTCAGTGTGAATTGTTTTTGCTTCCCTGGCGAATTTCAAGCAAAAGAAGGTAACATTTTTGCAAGTGTCGGGTTGAGTGTGAATTAACTTGCTGTTTTAGAAAGAATTCAGTGGGTATTTGAGAAAAGGATTATTGGTTGGTAATGTCGTATTGAAAGCTTCTTTTTTATATATCGAATCTTTAGGTATATGCAGAATCTCTGGATAGGATAAGCAGTTGTCAAGCACCTGGGCCTTTTAGATTTAGCTGATCAACTACAGTGTCAAGAAAAAAAAATTGTTCTTATAGATGTTAATGCTCTCTCAAAAAGTTTTCTATTTACCCCTTTAGAAGACATCAAAATAGCCCAGTTGTCTACAATAAGATTAAAATCTTTGATTTAACCACATCTCATGGTTATGATGGATTTTAATGTTAAACCAAAGGTCACATAGGTGATAACTTCAAGCTTTATTCTTTTCCATCAGGAACAATACTAAATGGTAATTTAAGAAGTAGATATACCACTGTATGTGTAGAGACATGCATTGGACCATTTTAAAATTATTTTGTAACTTTCACAGATAGTTTGCAAATATTTCTGTTTCAATATTACACGTTATCTGCACTGAACCCCCCCCAACATTCCTTAAAGATAAACCCAAAGGTTCATAATTAAATTTTCCTTTTATACCTCGTTCCCTCCCTTTTCTTTCTGTAAAATAACATTCTGTCCTCATAAATAAGCATCAGTGTTAGGTTCTCGCAGCTTACTTTAGTGCACCTGAAAGGTTTTGAAGGAAAGAATTTTTTTTCTTAGCTAATACTGGAAATTAAATTAAACAACTGAGATGGGGAAGGTTCTTTTTTCTATTGTTGCAGTTGCTGCATCCTTTGTTTTTGGTGAGTATAATTGCATTTATCCAACAGAAGAAAGGTCAAAGTAGAACATGATTTATTTTTGCTTCTTTTGATCTGGCCTTTGTTAGGAAAAAAGTTTATTGCATTTTATTTGAAATTGAACATTGTTCAAGAGAGGCTTCATTACCAAGTTATACATTCTTACTTGCAATGTTTTGCTTTATTTTGCTACCTCTTGTTTCAACAAAATAAGTATTCAAAATAAAGTGACTTGTAAGCAATGATAATTTCTGTAAGAAAACATATATTTCATACTAGAAATGAAATCTTCTATAGTCAGGCACTGTAAGACAATGTGTGCAAACAAATAATTTTTTATTAGTTTGCTTAAGCAAGAAAAAAGTTGCTTATTAGTCATAGTTGTTTCTGATAAGTCTTACACTTTTTTCTGTCTTTTTCAGTGGAGTCCTTGACCTGCAACGGGTGCTCCTTTGCTTTGGGGCACACCTGCATGATCCAGAGTAACGATATATGCTCAGCCAATGTGACCGACTGTTACACTGCATCAACTGGTAAGCTGCTTTCAAAAAATCTCACAGAGTAAAAGCTACTCTGTTTTATATCAAGGCAAAAACTGAAATTTAAGAGGAGAAAAGGAAACTTTCAAACATCAAATCTAATTGTTCAATTTCTCTCACAGCTTTTGCCATTTCCTCCTTCAATATTATCAAGCTGGGCTGTGCACTGGATGCTTCAGGCTGTAATTCAACTACCAATGGCACTCTGCTGGGCATTGATTATACCTACGATGTAACCTGTTGTGCTGCAGACTTTTGCAACACCCTCAATCTCAACAGTGCACCAATGACCAAGATGACCTCCACTACTGCCCTCTGTGCAACCATCCTGGCCTCTCTGTGGGGAGGCAGTTTTTAATGAAATTACAAAATCGACCTGCTGGTTATTTTTAAATTCATATGCACTGTAAATTGTATAATTTAAAAATGTTTCTAGATCAGAGGTCTGCAACACTTTTGGCTCCAGAGCCGCAAATATAAAAGAACCAGCTAATAGTTTTAATATAGTTTGATACAGATACCAGTCATAGAAGATTTAGCGGTTTTATCAAAAAGTATTTCATTTTAATAAAAAAAAAAAGTCAATTCAATTAAATTCTGTTTATTTATATAGTGCCAATTCACTACACATGGCACTTTACAGAGACAATTTAAGCCAGATCATACAGTCAGATTGGATTCAAAGTTTTCTATCTACTGTAAGGAAAACCAGCTGATTGCGTCGACTCAGTTACTCAAAAGCAATCTATCACACCAAGCATGTTTGTAGTGAAAGAAAACAGAAAACTCCCTTTTAACAGGAAGAAGATATATTTTTTCTTGTAATTTAATTGGAAATGTGTATGCATTCAAATGTACTTACAAGATATTAATAAACGACCCAAAGACAATCTTTTTACAAGATGGTTTTTGAGTGAGCTTTAAACTAAATTACATCCTCAAAAAAGATATGAGGAGCTGGTTAAAGACGATTAGAATATGCCTATAACACTTACAACACTAAAGTAACAACTAAGACTCATACTTTAAAAGATTTTATAGACAGGTGTCAGTTATGAAATGTCAGGCTATTTGACATGCCACCAGCTTCAGTCTGCTGTCTTTAAATGTTCTCTTATTTCTCCTTTTTTTACACCTTACAATTTGAAGCACTACTTTATTTGGTGCAGCAGCTTGAAAATGACATCTCTAACCATAATTATCCCATTTTAAATAATAAATGCTATCATAGTAGAACGTAATGGAAAACTAACATCAGTAGAGCGCGACCCATTTATGCAGCCTTTAGTCCTTGATGTGGCTGTTCCTGTTCGAGTCCCGGCTTGTTGACATTTGCCGCATGTTTTCAACCCCCCTCTTATCCCAATTTCCTTTCAGCTTACTTTCAAATTAAGGCCTCTTGTGCAAAAAAATTTAATAAATATGTAGCACCATTTTTACTCATACAACTATGAAAATGCAATCAGATGAACTTGCATCTTTGACCTCAATAATCTTTAAGCTCCAAATAAAAGAATAACATAAGACTAGGATACAATGCTGTGTGCCTTTATTTCTACCTTACTTCTAGATTCTGAATCATAGGTTACTGTAAGTGCAGGTTTTGGGGTGTAGTGAATATCTAAACTAATCAGACCCACCGTTCTAGAATGCCAGGTCAGGACATTTTTAAAAAGTGGTGTATCAAGGCAGTGATACGAGGGTAATCGACACAACTCTTACTACTGCCTTCTTAAAGGTCACTCTGCTTTCTTGTTTTTTTGCTTCATCTTTACCACTATCCTGAGTTAATTTTAAGCTAGTCTAGTATTCCTGTTTTGTTTTTGTTTTTTTTCTGAATTTCTTTTACAGGTAATGTTGCGTTTTTCTTTTACAGCTGCATGACCAAAGTAACAAAATGACAAGAAACAACCAGCAAAGCATAATCTTTGGGCATGGCACCTGAATGCTCTATAATTCAGTGAAAACTTTCTCAAATGCAGACTAAAGCTGATGTTGGCTTATTATATCATCCAGTCAAAACCTACTGGAAAGGGTCATGTCAAAGCTTAAGTTAACCAGGCAGATATAATAAAGCTTAAAGTTGTTGTAACTCTGTTTTGGTCACTAAAACTTATTGTATCTGGGAACTTGCATGAATAAAATGTTCTAGCATCCATCGTACTAGAACTGTGTTTGAAAACTACGTCATTCACCATTTTCTACTAATATTAACATCCTATGGAGGAAAACCCTTGCTTCCTCTTTATGAAGTATATTGTCTTTTCCATATTTCAATGTAGTTTTAAACTCAAATACAAATCAACCCTTGGTATTTTAGCAGTTTTCCTATTGCAGAAATATCAAAAAATAATGAGCTGTGTCTAATTAAATGGTCATGTAATATTTCTGACTCTGAAACAACTTAAACTAAGCTTCACTTGGCAAAAAAGCTTCTTGATTTTAAAAGATGCAGACCCTGTTCTAGAAAAACAAAAGCCATTTTTGAAATTAATCTTTGAAGAAATTAAACGTCAATCTAAACTCAAACAGACTCTTTTTAGGCTACCGTCTGACAGATACCGAAGTAATGGAAGCTGATCAATCAGATGTTACAGAGGAACATACTTTTTTTTGCATATATCATGATGCTTTTCTTTATTGATCTATAAAAATCAAACTTGTTTTTCTTTTCAACTTTGTTGTCTTTTATTGCATAAACTAAAATTAATAAAATAGCAGCAAAAATCTCTATGAGTACTTCTTCTATCCATGATGTGACAGGAGTTGGCCAAAAGCAGTAAATCCTGTTAAAGAGCTGCTTTTAGCATAAAAGTTTCAACTTTAACATAGAAAGTACTACTTAATCAGTACTTATGTTTTCCTTTCTGTGCATGCTTTTGGGCTGGTTCTAAGCATACATGAATAAGGGAGCAGGTGGAAATATGTAGGGTGAATCACTATCACATTAGCAGGATATTTTCTGATGTTGTTGATTGGAGTTTTTGATGGGATCATGGTGTCCAATGATTTCGAATTACCGTAGTGTTCTCATTGACAAGCTGGCAATGGGATGAGTTTTTATAAATGTAGCTGTTTCACCATATTTTGCAGTTTTATTTTATTCATAGGAGGTTGGAGTATTTTACAGAAAAAAACTTTCATAACAGTCACCATTGTGTGGTAGAAAACTAAATGGTTGCTAATTGTTTTTTCTCACATAGATAGCTATTTGGTTTGTTCCTGTTTGGTTATGATCCCATCATGGAGAGAAATATCAGCTTTGCTGCTGCCATTTTCAACCATTTGTGGACTATGCCGTGCACATTGAGGTCAATGCAGGTTTTAATACTGACGTTTACTGGAAACCTATGTATCAGATTTCATCTGGTTTCTTTAAAATGGAAGATGCTGGAGATCTGCCTGTTTTCCAGTGTAGTCCTCTTTCTCTGACTGTGACTGGCTGGATGTGCTCTCCTCATCCTCTGACATGGGAGCTGGCTCGGTGCTCGTCTGCCTGTCTGTGTGTTTCCTGGACAGGGCCTCCTTTTACAGTTGCTTTTTGTATCTCTGCTTCTGTCTCCTTGAACCACAGTCGGCCTCGGCAGATGGACGCTCACACTGAACCTGGTGCCTCTGGAGGTTTCTTCCTGTTAAAAGGGAGTTTTTCCTCTCCACTGTTGCTACAAGCATGCTTAGTGTGAGGGATTGCATTTGAGTCAGTGAGTCAATGCAATCAACTGGTTTTCCTTGGATAGAAAACTTTGAATCAATTTGAATGTACGATCTGGTGAACTGTAAAGTGCCTTGAGATGACTTGTGTTGTTAATTAGCGCTATATAAATAAACTCAATTGAATTGAATTGAAGACACCACTCAGAACAGGAATCAGGATCTGCACGTTTATTTCACCACACCTTTCGAAGCGGCGGGGGACACAATCAGTCATGCGCGTAGGTTTGCATAAGGATCGTAAGGACATGTCGCTACCAAAATATTTGACCAACCAATTTGTCCTACCAATGATTGGATGTGAACAATATGTTTATAATTTACAGCAGTAGTTGTTGCAGCAGTGGCTTCTTTTCCTCTTGCAGATCCTCTGCCTGGTAGCTGCAGCTGCCTGGTCTTTCCTGTCCCTTTCACGTACCAGCGCATGGACCTGTGCTGTGCTGTTTAACTCCACGCTCTGATTTTTCTGCCTTAAGTTCCTCCTTTTCTCTTTCTGCATTCTTGTTTTCTACTCTGCATGTGTGTGCGCGTGCGTGGTTGGAGAACGTAATAATAAAAAATTATGCCAGAATACAGCGGTTACCAAAATTAATATTAGACTGCGAAACTATTCCCATCAAAAAAACAAAATATTATCTACGCAAAGACAGGCGAAAGCTTCTGATTGCAGTTCTGTAAAGAAGCAGGAGAGAGTTTGGATTTGTGGAACTTGAGAAATGTAAGTAACCAACGTTAGGATTTTTAAAAAAAAACTAAATCTTGTGGGTCACACAGGAGTACTGGAAACTGCTGTTAAAATGGACAAGCAAAGACTGTAAGCAATCAATATTTCTGATTCCCTTTTACCAATATTTCTTTGCTATTACTATTTCATCTTTGATTACAGTTCAGGTATAAATAACAGCTATTATTTCTTTTATAGAACATAACAGGAGAAGGATGCTAAAGATCAAGAAAACAAAAAATTCAATTTAACACCGATTTAAAATGGAAAACATTACTCATAGGTTTTGAGAATGTTCACCAAAATGAAAGATTAGAAATAAAATAATTTTTAATATGTACAACATATTGACCCAGCTACACATATAGACCAATACCTTCTTTTTTACTCACATCACCTGTGGGAACATACACTTTCTGTGGTCTGTTTTCTGAGCCACTGACAGTATTCCCTCAATTACAGAGGAGAAACATAAGGAACAAAAATATGTTAGAAAATCACTTGAAGCATGTGGTTATCCAAACTGGGCCTTTGTTAAGTTAGCAAAAACAGCTAGCAGGAAGAACACTAATGCTGCAAACACAGAGAATAAACAGAGATGCAAAAAACATTTAATACTATATGTGTCAGGAGTTTCTAAGAAACTCCGAAGGATTTCCTCCAAACACAACATATGAGTGAATTTCAACCCTAACAACAAACTAAAAAAAAAACTGGTTAGGCCTAAAGACAGAACACCCAAGCTGGGTGCCGTTGAGTACACAATCCAGTGTAGTGAGGGCTGTAGAGCCTCTTGCATTGGAGAAACCAAACAAGAACTTCTTATATGCATTGCACAGCATAGGAGCGCCAGCAGCAAGTGGTTGGTTGTAATTCCAGTCTTTAAGATGTCGTGTTTAGCTTCCCAAGCCTAAACAGCTTTATGCAAAACGACTATGGCTGCGCCTTTGCCTGCCGGTTTCAAAATGGTGGATTGGAGGTGGCAGAGTTAATCTAGAGCCATCTTCCTTTGGTGAGAAGTTTGGATTTTCTGGTTTGGGTCTGAATTTGTGTAGGTTCCTATAATTCTGTTCTACATGTATTAGTTTTAAAATTAAAG